CAATTCATGACATTAGCCTTTCCGGCGTAAATTTTAACTTCTGCCTCCTGGTAAATTGTAAGTGGCCACTGATTCCTTTCAGATAAAACTTTCTAAATCATCGTGAGTTACCTCTTCTTCGTTAAGGAATGTGTAATTATATTTGTGCGATGAACTGTAAAATAATAAATAGTTTATTGTGCTTGAAAAGGCTATTTCCGACGTAAATCTGCCCTTCTTTTGATCCGTATTCCATCATTTTTCTGGTCAATATCGAAGGAGGAGTCTATGAGTATTTCTGAGTGTAGCTTCCGCAACACAGTCGAATGATCTGAAAATTGTCAGATTTATATAGACTGACCTTGAAAATCGTGAAGTTAGTATTTGTATAATTCTCTGCAGACTCAGCAAATTCAAAAACAGTCGTCAAAATTGCGCGCGTTTTATATCCATAAATGCGTACGTGGTCTTATGTCATGACTTTTGAGGAAAGCATTTCGAAAGGGACTCGACTAAACTTTGATCTTGAAAACTTAGAAAACTCTTTGGTCCTTTGTTAGCCGTTGCTACTCGGAGACCTTCCCATTCCGTCACTTTCAAGAACTTTTAACCATTTTTATTGACCTGTCCAGTGTAATCTTACAAACTAGATGGATCAATAGAGATGACGTTATCGTTTATGGAGCCAATTCGAACAGTTTCACAACTGGCAGTTGCTCGCGTTTGCTTGAAATTCCGAAGGCATTAGAAACAACTAACGATTTTTCTTCTAAAAAATAAAAAAGGAGGGACAAGGAAAAGGTAAAGAGTATGTGGGAACTCTTCGTCTAGCGCAAGCAGTCAGATGTGGGTGGGTGTGAGTATGGTCGTATGCAGTACATCCCAGTGTGGTGCTATAACGCCGCGGCTTGAGCATCATGCAACGATGGCCATTAACGCTAGTCCAAGGCAGGGTGAAAATCGCTTGAGGAAAAGACAACGGCTCGTCGAGGATTCTTTCACGCTCTCCCACGCGGATGCTCACTCTCGCCACCCGCGAGCCGTCTGTGCTCTCCGCGCATTCATTCACTCTCGACACTACTCTCGCACGGTAGAGAGCCATGGTCGAGGAATTCCTCGACCGTTATTCACCCTGGTCCAAGGTAGTATAGTCTCACTAGCAGGTATGCGTTGCTTTCGCATACCACACAAAGCTTCACTGAAAGTTTTCACACCAGACATAAGCTTACTTTCGTTAAAGAGGGATTTGACGAGGGAAAAGCAGCTCATTAGAAATAAGGGTAGAGGGGTCATTGGTGCAGGGATGAAGAAAAAATTATGAGAAACGGCCAATAACCCGAGAAGTAAGATCCCTTTCTACCTTCCTTGCCCGTTGATTTGCACTTTCATCCGGCTGCTCTCTTCCAACGCTAATGCTCTCTCGCTGAACGGCTAGAGACTCATACACGAGACAATGTGAAGGGGGGGGGGGTGCGTACCGGCCAACTGCGCGCTGCCGACTGGCCGCGAGGAAAGCCATGCTGGATCGCGGGAGGGGGGGGCGTGTTTTTCGATGCGAATTGCGTGTCGGTCCGCACCTTCAGGTTGTCCGCCTATCTCCCCACAAGGTAAGCTTCCCCTTCTTCGACACTCGTCCTTATCGTGGAATTCTCCTGTAAGATCGCAGGAGCGACTTCTCTTCTGCTATGATTTTGCATGAGACTGAATTCTCTCGATGCAGGTTTCGAAGAGCGTAGTTGAAATAGCCCGCGCCATTTCGGTGGGCTGTACCAACGTCAGTCAATCAACCATTTCCACGATCCAGCTCACTGGTTCTGCTCATGCCCACGAGATTAGGCACTATCGAAAATCGGCTACAATGTAGCTTTGAATCTTGTCAGGACCTGCCAATACTTCTGCGAATACGAACGAGAGTGAATGTATGGCGCATCCTGAGAGGAAAACGACCACCACGTTATTGGCGTGCTGGTACATCTACTAAGGAGACGAGGGATTGTCTGGGTGAAGGTGGTATTCCTAGAATCGCGTAGAAGAAGTAAGCTCGCTTTGATTTCCTTCGCGGGTAAAATCACGTCGATAAGGTTTCGTGTGAATTTCTCGAACCTTGTGACTTACTTATGTTCATGTCGCGTTTTTACATTATCTTTTCCTTTTTTAAGTTTTTTTTTTTCGCTATTTTTTACATTACGATATTCAGCATGCTTTGAAAAAATACTTACATTCATCTGCGTTTGTATCCTCGGTGCTGAAATAGGCACCGTCGAAGTCAACTAGTTTCGGTTGCTCGTCAACCAATACTATCTGAAATTGTTATAGTTACATAATCTTCGAAGGCGGAATCACAGCATATGGCGACATAATTAAAAAAAAACCTTTAAAATATATTTTTTTCTGTTTGACGCACCTGTTGCCTCCGAAAATCATGAAGACGTAGTGTTGGGTAGTTAATAAAAAATCGTTGAATCATATTTACAAATTGATGTCTCTTTTGTGGAGACAGCTGTACAAGATGTAATGTATCCAAAGGTGATCCTCGCTCAGTTACAATATTCAGTTGCTGGATGTTGTCCAGAGGATTCCGAGGAATACAGTAGGACATCAGCTGAAATTGAATTTTCTTAGTCAGTCAGTGAACTTGGAGGGAGGTATGTGGAGACACATGGCCGCCTAGATGTGCACAGGCGACGATTTGATTGATTCGATCGTACCGCTGACGGGAGGGTATACGCATAGTCTTGGGGGCAATTGGGCTTACCGCTGAAGGGCATGGGTGCACATAGAATAATCTGCTTCACCCTGTGAGCGACCTCAGCGATCTCAGTGTTTTGGAGCTCTGACCCTCAGCAACTTACATCTCTTTAAAGGCGGATTTTACGATTAGAATGCAGCCTATTAGAATTATGATAAAGGTGATCAGGGTGCCGGGACGAAAAAAAATCCATGCGAAACAGCCCAGAACCCAAGAAATTGATCCTTGCCCTGATGGCGACGACGCCGATCGGTGCTGTCGTATTCAGAGCAGAAGCTCCCTCTGCTAAACGGCTAGAGACTTGCGGCGAGTTGTTAGCCAATCGGTGGGCGTAGCGCGCCGATAGCGCCGCGCGGGTAGGGCTAGGCTAGATCGCTAGGGGCCTATCCTCTGCTCCTAATTGCGTGTTGGTCCGCACCCCAAGTGGTCCGCCTGCCTTCTCTTCAGGTAGGTTTCCCTTCTTCGACCTTCGTTTTTATCGTGGAATCCTGCCATCAAAATCGCTAGATAGCACATCTGCCAGAGCTATGAAGGCTATCTCACCGAACGTGTGGATCAAGGTTGGGACCACTCACCGGATCTCGCTCAGATTTACCAAGTCTTTACCCTTTCGCAGCTGGTTGATCCGGAGAATGAGACCATAAGCCTAATAAGTGCCTGTACACCACCCATCCCAAGCACAAATTCGTATTGGAATTGCCTTTGAGATATCTGAGATATCTGGTGATAGGAACTCAACAACATTCGCTACTGCAAAAAAACGGTGCCCACAAAAAGTAAATGAAAACGAAGGGAAAGATAAGGGAAGATGAGTTGCTCTTTCCTTTCACCGAAGGAAGGATGCTCTCGAGTTGAAGTTGGAGTCAATGCTTAAAGCCAGCCAACACGCGCCTGACAAGCTTGGGAGCAGATCCTGCTGTTATTAATAAATCTGAAGCCATTTAATACCCACTCACCGTTATTACATTTGAGGCGTTCCGTAGCTGTAGCAAGCACTTTGATTTCACTAACGAAACCTTTCAACATTTCTAGATTGCAGCGAAGTTCCTGAAAAACAGCAATCAACTAGCGCATCATAGGTGCTTTTTATGATTACAATTTGGGTAATTTGTAGGACTCAATTATGAAGGTACAGTGGAAACAGATCTAACAAAGAACAGCCAAAAATTTCTTGAATGAAATTTCCATTTGAAACCGCTCCATGGTGTTATATGTGTGGCTACGGAGAGTATGTAGAGGAGAGTATGAAGAATGATAGACCCCGTTAACAAAAGCACGGGAGACTATAAACATGGTGTAGATGCAGACATGAACGGGCTCGGGTACCCGACAGGAGGCCTCGTCGCGCGGCAAGAAGGCAGAGTCAAGCGGACAAGTCGCAGCGCGTGAGCACGTGATGCGCTGATAGGCGTACAGCATACATTATACGAAGTTATATTTAACTTGACGCGAAATCACTACAGTACGCGCTGCGACTCGTCCGCTGACACTGCCTTGTTGCCGCGCGACGGCCTCCTGTCGGGTACCCATCAACGTATGGGTAGCGCCATTCCTAATCTGCCTTCGGGTCGTGGAACGTATCACATCCTCTAGCACCCTGCACCCTTTCACTATGTAGCTTAGCGCATTCCATTCCAGTTTCTCTGTACCCCCTTTCTTACTCTACTTACTCCCTGTTCGTCTCTTCCATCCTTTTTCTTTTCGTACAAATATTCTTTGGAGGGCGCAAAAGGCAAGTCCCAGCAAATCACTATTGTGAGAATGCTTACAATTACTTCAACGGCTTCAAATGGATAGCCAGGGGATCAGAGTTCAGTAGTTCGAATAGTTTTGCTTGCTCGTTTTTACTTCATTCGCTTTTTCTACCTCGATATCGTTCTTCTTCACAATGTATTATAATTTCCCAGTAGTATAATTTCCGTATAACATATAATAGCCTGGTCTTCGAAACGAATTCTCGCGTGAATGCAGCCTGGTCGAAATGGCGCTCGATGACTGGCGTTCTCTGCGATAAAAACATGCCAGAACGTCTCAAATCTAAGATCTATAGGACCGTCATCCGGCCGGTCGCGATTTACGGTGCTGAGTGCTGGCCTACGACTAAAGAGATCGAAGCCGTCTCAGTGTGATGGAGACAAAGATGCTGCGCTGGACAGCCGGAGTCACACGAGTAGACCACATTCGAAACGATGTCATCAGAGAGCGATTCGGTGTGGCTCCAATTGTCGACAAGATGCGCGAAGCCCGTCTTCGATGGTATGGTCATGTCCTTCGCGCGAAAGATGACAGTGTCGTAAGATCGGTCTCAACCTTGACGTGCCCGGAAAGCGGCCTAGGGGACGCCCGAAGCAGCGATGGCTCGATACGTTGCACGTAGACTTGAAGTCAGTTAATATCCACCCCGATCAAGCAGTGGCGTCAACACATAAGAAAAGCGGACCCCGCTTACAAGCGGGACAGACGCTAAAGAATAAGAAGAAGAAGAATTGTAGTAGTAGTATAATTTCCCTGTTGTTGAAGAAAAAATTTCACCTACCCAATCGCTTTTGCCGAAATTCGCATGGAAGCAGTCCTGGAACGTTTTCCCGTCTAGATTTGGCCGTTTTAGTACGGTCGATTCTGATAGAACGTCGACTACTTTGCTCCAACCGCTGGCAAAGGTCTTGTTCACCAGAGCGTAACGGCCAGAGCAGTTGAGATATGAAGCTGAATATTCCCTTATTACAATTTCTTTGTACAAGACAACTTTTTACGAATGTAATATCCTTTCATAAGAAACTCACGGTCAGTGCCCCGTATGACGAACCCGTTCGCATTTTGTTTCAGATCGTTGAAAATTGACAGATCAATTGAATCTGAATGAAACTTTTATAGTACTTCCGTCGATGAAAAGGCAATTTTACTTGCTTTCGCTTTAGTGGTTCCAAAGTTATTTTTATCGTGGTTGTTTCAGTCGAAATATATACCCTCCTCTTCAAAAAACGAGAAAGCGTCGGGTGCACACCATACACCACAACTGACGACGGCCGCGAGAAAGCGGCAGTTGACAACCGACAAGGAAATTAATTGGTTGCAGTTGTATTCTATTAGCTATCTGTCTAATTCTACTTAGTTTGTACGTGCCTCTTTCCCCAAGCCAGCCTCCTTCACTGCTAGTGGGAAAGAGGGTTTTGTTAACGGCCTTGTCGACGGTTTTTCTCAGTTTTTTCTCCACTGTCGTTCCACTTCGCATCTCTATACTCAGTTTCAATCGCCATAATACCCCCTTATTGAGCCCGACTTTTGCCTTTAAATTACGAGCAACCCTGAGAAGAGGAAGTGCTGTTTGGGAAACCCTCACAACCCTTTTCTAATAATTTGTAGTAAAATTTTGTGGATGCTCGATACTTGTAAAATATCTGGATGCATAGCCGCTCTTCAATTAGTTATTGATAGAGCGAAGAATTTCCCAAATTTGCTTGCAAAGGCTCACGAGCTGTGCCTAGCACCTTGACCTGCCTCAAAAGACGAATACGGAAACTATTCTATAAACTCAGCTAATGTATGT